CATCTTCCGCGCTACATCCCAACAAACGAGAGGACGAAACAAACAACATGCAACCTCAGTGTGCCGCTCCTACTACTGGTTTCCTTAAGCCGCTAGATGGATGGTCAGACCCACACTTCAGGGACAAGTTCAGACCGCCGTTCGTCTAGGGCCGTCTTGAATGCTAGCACAGTCTGCAGCTCTACTAACTCCACAGGTAGTCTGTTCCAAATGTTTACTATCCTGTTGCCGAAGAAGTGTAAACGGGCGATCAATCGCAACCGGGCCTTGGGTAGCTTCTTTTTGTCCCCTGGAACAAGGTTTCTGGTCTCACATCAGATAAAACTTTTATTAACATAAATTCTTTTATCACATCTCCCTTGAGCCTTCTCTTTTCTAAAGGTAATAGTCCCAGGTGCTGAAGCCTTTGCTTGTAGTCTTTACCTCGTTGACCTTAAACCATTCTCTTTGCCAGCCGTTGAACCGCTCTAAACAGGTGGCAAACTTTTTGAAGAATGGTAACCATACCCGGACACAATACTCTAGGTGGGGCCTTACTATGGCCTTATACAGAGGCATGAATACCTCAGGTTTACGGCACGACAATTCTGACCTTGGTCAAAATAACCCGCCTCTAACTTTCTGTCCCTCTCTGGTATACGGATTTGACCGCCTGGGATCAGCGGTTACCAAGATTCCTAAGTCTCTTACATTTGCCACCGCCTCCATAGCGAAGGGACCTACCTCGTAGCCAACTGTAAAACCTTCTACGGCTCGTGAAAGCAGTTGACTTTTGTCAGCAATCACTGGCAAGACCCGCTTGTCCAGTTTAGGACTGCTCCGATATCCATTGCCAGATCCTCTCATCCCTCTGATCCTACAACTTTTGCTTCGTCCGCGAATAAAGAGCTGGCCGACTGGAGCGTTAAGGCTAGGTCATTTATAAACAGCAAGAATTAGATGCGTCTCAGTACCGATCCCTGAGGTTATCCACTAGTGATGTTCCTCAAACTAGAACTGGAACTACCTACTCTTACGTAGAAAGATCACCCACTTTAGAAGTCAGATATCCAGCCATATATCTGCCCCTCTATGCCAATGGCTTTCAACTTGATCAACAATAGATGATTCACGCAGTCGAACGCTTTACTGAAGTCAAGATAGCATACCTCTACGCTTTTGCCTTCATTCAACCTGCGAGTTGTTTCATCTTAGAATCACAAGAGATTGGCGAGATATGATCTGTTTTTCAGGAACCCATGCTGAGCAGGGTACAACATAGAATGGTGCACTAAGTGCTTACAGATATGGACGCTTATGATCCTTCCCAGCACCTTGCAAAGTGCTAGTCGGACTTACCGGCCTGTAGTCGCTTACTTCTCACTTGGGTCCTCCTTTGTGTATGACTACCACGACGGCTGTTTTCCAGCCCCGTGGTAGATCACCATGTTATAAAACTAGCTTGAATAGTTGACACAGTAGTCGTTCTAAGTTACCCGTTAATGGTTTCACAATGGCTGGGTGAATACCGTCGGAACCAGCCGAGTTGTTTATATTTAAGCTCTCTAGATGGTTATTAACCATATCCTCCTATAGATGCAAATCGTTTATAACTACTGGAGGAGTTTCCGGGTCCCAGGTTGCGGGCGCACCGTTGTCCGTACGATGAACACTGCTAAAGTAGAGAATTAGTGTCCGCTTTACTGTTGTCGTCTGTAGCAACGGAATGCCCTTCAGTCTTCAGCGGCCCCACGCCATCCCTGAGTGTCTCTTTGGATTCTTCATACCCATAATATTTCTTAGGATGGTTCTTGGCACATTTGGCCAGTCTAAACTCATAGCTGCGTTTTGCTGTTTGCACCACGTCGAAAGCTGCGTTCCTGAGGGCTGTGTGGCGCGTCCAACCTGGGTGACTCCCAGAAATTTTATACAAGTGCCAACTTCGGTTTCTACGCTTGATGGCCTTGTCTATCGCCACACACCACCATATCGGTTTGGTTAGGTGCCGTCTGAATTGCAACAGCCCAAATCCATCTTGCAGTATGTGCAGCGATTTTTTGTTACTGCCCATAGTCCTTTGACTGGTTACTTCGTCGTCCCAAGCTAGTTGGGCCGCTCTGCTACGAAGGAGACCTGCGGTAATGGTAGCTTTCGTATGCTGCATGCAGAATGTAAGTCTCATTCATGCATGATCACTCTAACTTTATGGTGGGAGTAACTTCAAATCTATGACATCCGTAGGGTGTTTCGTAATTGCAAGATCCAGCAGTGAGGGCATGCAGCCCGTCCTGTACTTATTGTTTTCCTTTACGGTTTGCCTCGTTGCATCTTCATGAAGCCACTCCAGGAATGCCTCTTTCTGTCTTCCCGATTGGCTCGTTTCAAGCTCCCATTCTATATTTGGCATGTTGAAATCACCCACTATCAGAGTCGTGCCGGGTTCCTTCACCAGGTCTGTAAGGACTCAAAGGAGGTTAATATCCTCTTCACGACTCGAACAAGGGGACCGGTAGACGCAAGCCACGTTAACCTTACGCTTTGGAAAGATCAGTGTGACAGCGCATACTTGAAAATTCTTGGTGCATACTGTGACCTGGGATTCGAGGTGGCTTATGCCCTCCCTGATGAAAATGGTTACTCCGCCTCCCAGACAGTCACGTTCTCTATCCTGTCTGTAAATTTCATAGCGCTCTTTAATGACTCGGGGTACATGGTCATTTCTAGATAACCAAGTTTCGGTGACCGCAACTTTCCTTGCGCCACATTCACCAGCCACTTTAAAGAGCTCCATCCATTTATTGCGTATACTGCACGCATTGGTGTACAACACCACTTCTTCCGTACCTCGTCCTTCGTAAACTAAAATACGTAGGTTTTCCGGTGTCTCGGGAATTAAACCCGAGGAGCCACCGAGGTTTTTGCAATCATAGGCGGTGTTGACTGGGATCTCCGACGGATTGTGGCGTCTACGTTTCTTCTAATGGAGGTTGTTTGAATCATACCCCTCAATTCTTTGCTGTTGTTTCCAACCAGGTTGTCTTCTGGTTGGTTACAGCTTACCCAGATATCGTTCCTCAGTAAGTCTCCTGTAACACCTACTCCCTTCGGAGCGGTCGTGACCCGTTGGCGCTCCATGGGTTGAGGAATTCGTCTTGGCAAACCGATCTTCTTGCGTTAGGCCTCGCTGTCTTTAGGACTTAGATGTTTGTCTTTGTTTTCACGTCTGTGTTTTTGTGGGCACAGTTCTTGATGCCTCATCCGGCCTGATGCAATAGCTGCCCTTAGTTATCTGGGCCATTGATACTGCCTTTGATAACACCTTATTCCTAATGGACTCACTATAAAACTTGTCCAAGATTGGCCGCACCCTTGGCATTACGAATTTCGCGAGCTGGGGTTTCCATACATGAACTCGGTGGACTCACTTAAGAGACATTGGAAATGGGACCCCTGCTAAAGGCAGTACGTCGAACACTTGCCGTCTATCCATAATCCTTCACCCAGGTCACTGGTTGGTGACCTAACCGGGCTTCATTAGCTTCAAATGATGCCCCCTAGTTGACTAGAGTGGTGCTCGGGTAAACAGGCTGTCCGCCTATAGCCCAGTCAGCCCCTTAAATATTTTGAAGGTTTCAATGATTTCGCCCCTCGTATCTTCTCCATGGAGAAAAGCACAAGGGATTCTGGCCGTTTCTCATGTTTTACCCCTCATTTCCGTGATCATCTTAGTGGCTAGCCGTTGCACCCTCTCAATTCCATTGAGACCCTTCTTCAAGTAATGCGCCCAAGCCTGCACACAGTATTCTAACTGCGATCTAACTATGGTCTTATATAGCGGTACGAAGACCTCAGTCTTCCTTGACGACAGGGCAAACTTAAGCTGGAACAATTGCCTCCTCACCTTTTGTGCGACGGCCAGGCATTGATCACCGGGCCTTAAGTCCTAGAGGACAAAAATTCCCAGACCCAGCATTCGGTCTACTCGAGCGAAGACAGTCGGTTTCGTGGTCTTAGCCACTCGAACCGGAAGCCCTATGGTGTTTAGAACATGACACTTTGTAGCGGTTATCTCTAAGTCTCACTTCTGTGTCCACCGGACAACCTTTGTCAGATCAGTTTCTAGTCTATCCACAGGTCCTGAGTTCATTAGTTTTAAATCGTTGGTAAACATGAAGGCATGAAGCGCTAATTCATAAACTAAGTCAGCAGAAAGAACATCGGGCATAGCACCGAACCCTGAGGCCTTCTACTGGATACGCTGCCAACGTTGGACAGAGCTTCTCTCAACCGAACTTTATAGATCTAGTTGGCGAGGAAAGCTTCTATCCATCTAATTACAGCTGTTGGGAGACTAAAGCCCCGAAGCTTTATTAGCAGGAGCCGGTGATTTACCGAGTAGAAACCTTTTCTGAAGTCCAGGTAGCACACTTCGACTTTCTGACCTCCTTGTAACTTCACCTAAGAAACGATTTCTTTTTGAGAAAGCAGTGCTGGGCAGGGCTAATCAACCAATGTTGAGTGACGTGCTCACAGAGAACATTCCTAAACTTGGTTTCTAAATCCTCACACAGCAAGCTGGTCAAACTTACGGGTCTGTAGTTACCAGGTTGCTTCCTATCTCGAATCTTGNATCGAACGCATTATCATACATCCTTTGGAGAGCTTGTTTGATCGTGTCGTTACTAACGGTGGTGGTGGTGAAGTTAACTGATGACGGTTTACGATTTATCGCGTGAGGCGTTCCAAACAACCTTCACCTGAACATGGTGCCAGCAGCATATGGTTCTTTCCTGCCGCCCAGTTTCTGGTCCAGGACCCAGTATGCTTCGGGCACGTCACACCCTATTAGAAAATCGACTTCGGGAGAGTCGGCTTTTCGAAACACAAGTCTCGCAGGTGCCGCCAGCGCGTTGTAATTCCCGATCGATTCCACTGCTCGCATCGGCAAGTCGGCGATGGTGAAAGCCTCCGTCACCTCTACACGCTCCCCACTATCTAACGACACCAATATCACGTTCATTTGATCGGCAGAAGTAGCCCTGGTACCGTTCACCATGACGATCGTCAGGGAAGATGGTTGGGTTGCGATTTGGTTGTGTACAGCGAAACGCTTAGTGATTAGAGTGGTATAGGGTCCAATGACGATAAATGCCATCGCCTTTACTACTCCTCTAGTAGTTAGTATGCCGAACAGTGTTACTCCGAGACGCATCTGCTTGCCAGTTGATTACGAAGGTAGACATACGCTTGGTTTCCGGGGTGCCAGTAACTGCATTTCTCGTATAGAATGCAAGAGGGTATGGTGGCTTCCTTGACACCCCTTTTCACGGCATCTGCTTTGGTTCCTACAAGAAGCCGCGCAATGTGAGCCGCTAAAACATAAAGCACGCACCGTGCCTCTTAGCTGCTTCCCAACTGTCCGGAACTTCCAGTTGCACAAATTTTTCACATGCGGGTAGCTCGTGACTTGACCGACACATAGGGCATCTGGATGTGCCACGTTCCCCTACGGATGCATAGTTATTTGCTTTTCTAGAGCTTCTCGGGATATCGTAGGTTCGTTCCTCTGCGTGATATCTCTCTTCTCGCATACTCATGCTAGTGAGTTGTCCGAAGTGACTACTGGCAACCTTGGCAAGGTTACGGATAAATTACGTTAGCTCGGTAAAATTCGGTTCTCTCGGTAAACAAACGATAATCACCGCCTCCTCCGCCCATCGCTGCTGTTTGTCAGACAGCAGACATCGTACTATCACTTCTATGGTGTGTAGTGCATTCAAATCTGCTTCGTAAATCTTTTGAGTCGGGGCAATGAAACAGTTTGGTATCTTCATTACTAGTCTCACCAACGATTTCGGTTCGTTTCTCGCTCTACGGGCCTCGGCCAGCACCCCGTTTATGAGCGTCCTTGCCACGTGAAACGGTTAACCAAACAGTTCCTTAGGGATTTCCCTTGCTTGGCTATACCCAATTTCGTTTGGTAGCATTACACATTCTTCAATAGCGTCCCGGGCCTTACCGCGGCAATAATGCGTTAGGTACAGGAACTTCTGCCCTGGATCCGCCATTCGACACTCGACCACATTATCAAATTCTCTAATAAATCTCCAATATTTGCTGGAGTTCCCGTCGAATGGCGTTAGCTCCACCTTGGTTAGACCTATCGATCAGTGTGGTACATTACTTCAATCAGGGGTTGAGCCGCTTCCGACGTCAGTCTAATGGGAAGGGTTTGTTTTTTGGTCACGGCATGCTTAATCGAGCAAAGTTCCTTAGCTTCTGCTTCCCTAAGCTTCATTGACCCAATCTCCTGTTCTAACTCTACAATCTTGCGGAGATATATGTCAGACATCTTAACATCGGCATCACAATCTTGGGCACATGGACTTCCGGCACTAACGGGACTAACTGAACTATAAAAATGAGAATCAGAACCCCCTCGAATTCCTCAGTTACTTGCCGGGTTACTTCCTATCCTTCCTCCTCGATCCCTCCCCATTCGAACGACATTCTCTTGTTACAAGCTGCACGAACTTGCGTAGTGTTCCCTCTGAAAAGATCAACGAGCAACACGTAGCCGAAATCCGATCTCAAAACGTTAATAAAACGAACGATCCAGCAAGTTTCTACGGTAATGCAATAATAAACGGTTAACTTAGCAAATAAAATCTGTACAAACCTCAAAGTGATCTCGAAACAGCTTGAAAATGAGAGCCAAGTGTTACTGTGAGCGTAATTCAGCAAGTCTGAATGCAAGAAAACTAGTCTGGATAAGAATAGCACGCTCACCGTCACGCTGCACTCGGACGAGTAAAACGTGAGCGGTTATGTTGCGATTAAAACAAATAGGGTATGAATAAACCAGTAAAACAGAAAAAAGTTAGATTGTGGGATCGACGTGTAAATATACAAAGGAGGTGGAACGGTAAATGTCTATGTGTGTATAAGGCGAATGTTTTAGGTGAATGGAGCGTGAAAGTTACGAACTGTGGAACCAAGGTGGATTGACTGGGCTTTACAGGAAGGATTCTCACAGAGCAATCAATACACTAAACACTACCTGCGTATGGTTTTCTGCGTTGTGCGTGACGCTGAGCGGTCGCCTCACAGCCTTTACTGCCTTCACCGGCATCATCTAAAGTGGGTTTGGTTCCTATTGATCTTAACAGTGGTGGACTTCGCCTTCTGTAAGATCTTTTGTGCCCCAGCCTTTGACTGCTTGCGGGATCCGTGGGATTCCGTCTTGGCTCCAAAAATCTTAACAGGTTTGTGACCTGCAGGTACAAACAATTTTAAACCTATGGGAGTCGAGGAAACCACCGATGCGTAGCTCAGCTTGCATTGGTGTACCGGTTTTCTAGCAAGACTTGGTCTAGGAGAGGCTTTCGCGGCGGATACCTGGAGGTTCACCTTTCCGGTCGCCTCAATCTTCCTTATCGCGGTTGCCTGGCCCTGCTCTGGGGTCTGCCATGACCCCTGCTTTAGACTATCAGGTGTGATCTGATAACTTCCCCCAGTGACTCGCTTATTTTTCTCGCAGTTGCTAAGCACTTGGTCCCGGACTGCGGGTTCCCAAACTCCACCAAGATAGATCTAGCTTTTTTATTCTGCAGGCTGCCTACTGGGTCAATTCAGCGGCCGATCCTCTGCACCCTCTTAATAAGTGCATGTGGGGATGACCCAGCAAGTCTCAAGAAGTTTCGGACATTCCTTCGTTCTACGTCTGCCCGAGCTTTCGCAATCCATGTAACCGGTTTCTCAATGTTATCTTGAAGTCTTAAAGTGGGAGGCTAGGCCTAATGATTCCGGATCTTGGTGGTTTCCAAGGGTTCTTCTGGTTCTGTGTCCCGGTGAACCGGGTACGGACAAGGGTCCGCTGCGGCAGATGTTGGATAGTTAGATTGAGTCAGCGTTCTGTTTGTACAAGGTTACCTGCAATGAGATAAAAGCAGGGGGTGAAGTATTTGCATGCAAAACGACAACTTGGAGAGTACAGGAAAAAATACGGAACATGAATAACTTCATGGAACGGGGAGATTTTATCGTTCAGGAATTAGACCAAGATACATGTCTGGATTCCTTTTGAAACCGGATTTTGTTTGGGCATTAACTACTTCTTGGGGAGGATATTTCAAAGAGGAATGACCCTGTGGGTGAAAGAGCACTGACAGACTAGTGTACGGGCTCGCGGTTTGAAGAGTTTCATGCTATGCCCATGAAGATTATCCATACTAGTGCGCACAAAGGAGTCATCGACGCTGCCGGACTTGAAGAGATTGTACAGTAGAAGATGTCACCTCTTATCCGGCGGACTTCAAGGAGGTACAGATTCAAGATGGAAAGACGCGTAAGGTAAAAGGTGGAGAACAAGCCGTGCGCAAGATTTGTCGCTCTCCGTTGTGCACGCTCGCTCACCAAGCAGGAGTGAGCAGTTTGACTCTCGTATTCCAATCAGGGTCGAATGCTATAGAGAATCTGAAAGTCATCTCTATCTATTCTGGGAAACGAGCGGTTTAGGAAGTCAAGAACACGGAGGGCGGATCTGTTGGCTTTTCTGGAGTTAGGAGAACAAAAGTGTCCTGATCAGCCAGAAACTAATAACCTTATGGTATTCTACACTCTCCATGGTTGTGGAAGCGCTAGTCCTAAAGCTGTGTACAGGGACCCTCCAAAACGACATATTAACGCATTTGTCGTCGTTTATTGGAAGGTTCCAGACTGTAGACTAGTCTTTGAATGCATCCATTGCTGGTTGAACAGCCACAGGATCAGTGCCAAAATCGTCACATCATCGGCGTATGCATAACATCTCTTAGCCGCCGAGAATTTGGACCACCGGGAAAGCAAATTTGTTTGAGGAATTCGTTTGCCTGAACGATGCACTAAATTGTAGTCGTAGGCAGTCAATGCAATGCTTTACCGCTGAATAATCACCTCTGTCGGTTTGGAAATCGAGTTTTGTGGACAGAGTATGTACTGCAGGGCTTGGTGTTCGGTTCCGATAATGAAACGCAGTCCAAGCAGGTATTTGTGCAGACGTTGGACAGCCCAATATACAGCCAGTGCTTCTTTCTGCATTTTCGAAGATCCTTCTTCTGACGAAAGATTCAGACAATCGAACATGCGTCCTGTTCGAGTACGGCATCAATACCAACATCTGATGAGTCAGTAATCACAGTTGGGTGTTTTCTCGGAGAAACCGGTGTAAGTACTGATCGGTTCGTTATCACCTGAATGATTTCGCGCAGACTTTGTTCACACTTCGCCATCCGTTTTCACTCTGAAGTCAACTGAGCAGTGAAAAGCAGTTGAGCATTGGTGGCGAAATTCGGAATGAAGCGCAAATAGTACTGGAGACATCCGATGACGGACCTGAGTTGGTGTTGGTCTCTCGGTGGTTGGAGTTCAGTCAAAGGACCGAAGCAACTCGGATAAGGAGGGTAGCCTGCTGCATCAACTGTGAAGCCCAAGAATCCTAATTCTGACGAAATGAACATGCACTTGGAGGCTCGAATCGATACATTCTTCGAGTGAAACGTTCCAGTAATTTGAGATATGTAACGTAGTGCCCAGCCTTCTTTGTACCAAACACAATGACGTCGTTCTGATAGGCTAACACGCCATGAAGTCTGCAAATGACTTCGTCAAAAGCCGCCTGAAATATGCCCAAAGATGTGTGGTGATTGAACGGTAGGAAGTTGTATTGATATAATCCCACAGAGTGTTGATGGTGGTGAATTGCCGGCGGGCTAGAACGAGAGGAATCTGGAGGTACACATCAACCAAGAAAATTTTTGAGAAGCGTGTGCTACTGTGTAATGATTTCATCAAATCCTCCGGTCTCATGGTGGTAGCCGCACACTTTCGTAACCGCGGGTTAAGGGTTAACCGGCAATGGCCATCAATTAGTGGTGACTTGCCGTCACTTTTGATCGCGATCACGATTGGCGTTGCACACGTACTGGATGTGACTCGGGTGATTATGCCGTCGAGCTCCATTTTCTCAAGGGTCTTCAACACGCCTTCACGTTGACCATAGGGCAATACACGTCTTTT